TGTCTGGACCTCTCTCTGCTCTCCCTTCCTTTCACCCCTCGGCCCTCTTTGTCCCCATGTCCCCCTGGTTCTCTCGGCATGCCTGAGAACCCCCCCAGTGTCACGGTAATGAACCCTCGGCTCTTCATCTCTCCCTCGTCTCCCCCTGTGTGTTGGACATGACAGATGACTGGGGACCTCCAGAGGTTCGCTCCCCAGGGCTCTTAATAAAGACCGCTCCAACCCCAAGATGATCAATCAATCAGTTCACGCCGCGGGCGTCCGATCAGCCAATTAATCAATTTTCCGAGCCAGCAGATGCTGTTGCCGTCCCTCAGCGAGGGAGCCGGCGGGGGAGCTGCGGAGGTGTTGTCTCCAACAGTGTCTGGGGAAGAAAGGAGAGTGATATTTCAACTTTCTAAACACGTAGACATTTGAGAAGCGCAATAGAGATGCGAACGTCTGACGCTCGCTGTCGCGGCATCATCGAGGGCCAGCTGGTTCAGATCCCTCCGTTGACCTCTGTTCACGGCCAATAAGCTGCACAAGGACGCTTCAGCTTAATGTGCCCTTAAACAGCCAGTAGTTTAAGGTACACACACACACTCACCACCTACACCTCTTGGCCTTTTGTCCCTGCCCCGGCCTCTTGCCGCCCCCTGTCCTGGTCAGGTCAGCCCTTTGACCCACCAGGTCGCTGGGTCGTTTCTCACTGCGCCCCCCCCCCCCTCCAGTCCCTTCCCTCCGGGAGAGTAATTCTCTCTGCAGCCTGTGGCTTCAATGTCTTCCTTCTCTGCTACCGGACATATAGAAGTAAAGTAAGAACATCACCGGGGCATTCGGGCTTGACACCAAAAGGAAGTGAGAGACTTCGGCTAAAACATCCTTTTCCTTTCCTTTTTTTCTTTTTATAATGGCTTCTCTTAAACTAAAGCGCGCGCACTGGCAGGTAACGAACGCCTCCGTCGTGGCTTCTTAGCCACAGCCAGCTTGTTCTCAATGATTAATGATGCCAGCCCTCCTTTTGGATTACATCGTGACCAGTCGCGTCGCCGCCGAGATCAATCCCCGCCGACAAGTGCCAGGCATGCTGCCGCATTCTGTTGTGCCAAGGCGGCCGTGGCCCAGCGGCGCGAGACTCTGTTAACTCATTCAAAGTCAGTCCGCAGCCTCTGTCGCTTGTCAAATGTGTACTGCATGTTCCCTGTAACTCTCCACAGGGTCTTGCATGAAGGATAAGTGCATAATGCCACACTGAGTGTGTGTGTATACAATTTATACAATTAAGTAGCGTCTTTGTTGCAAAATTGATAAGTTATTGATAATATACTTGCAGTACAGCTCTTTTGAGTCTGTCACTCTGTTCTAGAAACAACTTTCGAACATTAAAAAGTTTCTTGTTTCAGATATTAGTGTGGGTCTAAATGAACGCCCTGCAGTGTAGTTGTCCTTTTAGTGTTATCAGTCAAGGTTAAGCCCATTAACTGACCGCACTGTATCTGACAGGATCGCATCGCCCGTGACCCCACCACCTCCCGTGGAGACTAATCGCTCGCCTCGGACCAAAGTGTTATTGCAGCTCAGTGAAACCCCCATGATGCTAATTAACCAGCGCTGAGCGGTTTCTAATGGCGTTTTACTGCTCCTGCTCTACCAGGACTTGCTAAGGGTAATGCGTAGCGCTGCCAGTAAGGTCCGTGTTAGGTGATATCCTTTTACGGTCCATCACTTAGATTTGATCCGCCAGTGATAGCTTTGAAAGGACGGCGCTGCGGGGGGGGGGGGTTTCAGAGGCGGTTACAGGAGGTGCACAGAGGGATGTGTGTCCGCAGCTCTTTTGAGCGAGCGCGTACGTGCTTGTCTAAGGTGGCGAAAAAGTGAGAAACTGTGTGGTTTTCTCTGTTAAAAATCCCCCCCCTCAATCTCCTCGATATGACGGTTCTCCTAGCAACTGTCAAGGGGAAGAGAAAAAAAAAAGTCTCCTTCCCAACGGTCTGGTCATATTCATATTCCATCCACACGCGTGTCTCTCCCTCTCATCTTCTCTACCTCAGCTTGCCGTCCCTCCATCAATCTCTGACCTCACACACGCCACCTACACCTCCGCCGCACCAATTAACACCGGAGCCCGGTGCCATCGCGCCGCCCTCTGACCCCCACCTGCCCGCCGGAGCACACATGACCCGGGGCCTGCCGCTCCACTATACTTGTCACCGGTGCCCCTGTCGTGCAAGTCTGATCGATGAGCTCCGGTGAGCAGCTCTGACCCGCCATGCTGCAGCATTCACTCGGACCGTGGGAGGCAGCATTGATCACGGAGAGGGGGGGGGGTTGTGGACGAGGAGCCGCTAGTTAACGTGACTATATCTAATTTGCGCTCTATTGATCGCGTCATCTCGCGAGATGAGTTTCACTGAGCACGTCATTGTTACAACACGGAGATCGTGTTGAGGTTGAGCCATTGTTGAGGTACAATATAAAAAATGGAATATAAACTGAGTTGCTGATAATAATCAAATGGGTTTTTTTGTTGTGAGGAGAAATGGCCTTTTTAGACTTAAAAAGAGTTGTGCGTCGACTGAATGTATGCTCTCTGCAATTAGTATGGTAAATGTAATCCAAGAAGCAGGGGATCCACTTGTTTAAGTCGATGGTTCTCACCCTGGGGCTTTGTAATGAATGTGTAACAAAATGATGGATGGCATAGAAGCTAATTAAAATCATTTTCTTTTCTAAAATGAATGATCTTCATATTCCTTTTTTCAGATTTGTGTCCAACACAGGATTATGTATTTGTTACTACTCCATAGTTTTTCCCCTTTGAAAGTCGTTTGGACAACAACTATGAAGAAGAAATGCAGTATAAGTACGCACTTGCACGTGCAGTAGCCCGAAGCCCGCTGAATGCTGCAGGCAGGACTTATTTTTATTTCCATGCCCTTGGAATGCTTTGAAAGGAAAAGAGAGAAGTCTTTAAACCAAAAAAAAAAATAGCTGGTGTAGAAGAAAATGAAGCGTATGTGAGCAAATCAGTGAGGGAACAGGAGGTGTTGGGGTGTGGGTGGGGGGTGGTGCTGCTGACGCAGCAAAATCCACCTGTTTTCATCAAGCCTCTTCTCCCTGTTCTCCTCCTCTCCTGCGCCCTCGCTCCCAGCTCAAACTGCGGCAGTCGGCTAATTAAAAAACACGGCTGTCCTTAATTATTCAGCGGCTCGCTAATTGATATTCACAGAGGCGTTCACCCCGTCGTAAACGATCCGCTTAATCTGACCGCCGCGGTCTCACTCTCGGCTGCCCGTCGGCCTCAGCCGCCGCGCTACTGTACTCAACGAGAGGCCGCGGGGAGACGGAGAAAGTTTGCCGCTAACGTGGTTTATTGGGCTGCAAACCACATGGATCGTAAAACCTAACGGATGTGGTTTTTGAGTGTTTTTTTTTCTCCCCCGCGTCACACGTTGCTGCACGGGAGAAATTAGACTTTGGTGAAGTCGAATTAGTGAATTAGCCAAAAGCAATTGGGTCTCTACTGGACTTGAAGTTTTGAATGTTTTTTCAAAATCGGGAAAACATTCCATCAGGAGTCATTTCTGGCTCCCACTCAGAAATCATTGTGCGTGAAGGAAAGGTCTGGATTTCACAGCTTTTCCCCTGCTTACTTCCACTTTAACTTCCTGTCTGTAGTCTGCGATCCTTTTCTCTCTCTAACTTCTTTCTGAAGCTGAGATGCACTCGGCTCGGACGTCCCCCACCTTTCAGCCTGACACCACCAATGATAAATCACCTTTTATTGTCCCCCTTCCTCTCTTTGTCTCTTATCTATCTGTTCTTCTATGTCCAATTCTGCCCTCCTCTTCCTCTCACCTCCGCCCCCGCACTTACCCCGGCTCTCCTCTTCCACCCGTGACCGCCTCTTCATTAGGGGAACAAAGGGGGGCATGGGCAGTGTTGAAGCCCGTCCCATTGTTTGGCCTTCGGTATGATTAGATTATCTTTAAAGTCTGCTGAATGGGGTTAATCAGTCGGAAGTAATCCTGACGTGTGTGTGTGTGTGTGTGTGTGTGTTTTGTCAAAGAGGACAGCCAACCTGCTCGTGTATGCACAGACTGACGTGGAGATGCACACAAAAGTGAGCCCCCCTTCCACCTCTCCCCCGGCACACATTTCTGTCACAACCTCTCCTCTTTTAATGACCCCTTTTAATCTCGCCCTAGGCACACATTTACCTCCCCACCCGCTCTCTGTGCGTACAGCTGCTCCGGCTGGTGTTTGTGTGTCTGCGTTTGTGTGTGTGTGTGTGTGTGTGTGTGCACGCGCTGATGTGTGCGTTTCAGATCGCTGGTGTTTTGGTCTGCGTGCATCGTTTCTCTTTCAATCTGCAAAGTGAAGTCTTTCAGCGTAACATTGAGCTTGCGCACACTTGTGCCGCTCAGCGCCTGCACTGTGTTTCTGTATTAATTGTAGTACATAAGCTCGAAGCATCCCCTTGACTTTGAAAGTCCCCCCCCCCCCCCCCACCCCCCCACACTACTCATCCGCCTCGAGCACAACCCTCCGGGGACGCTCCTCATCACGATGCATGGAGTGCTCAGCTCTTCCCGCAGTGCACAAGATGGCCAACCACAGATGCTTATCAAAGTAGTAGAGATTGGATTTCTTTCTTCTGCTCCATGTGTTGTTTTCAGTCTCCGTCAAAGGCTTCAAAGTTTCTCCGCGTGGACGCATTACATAGCGTATATAAATGGCTTTAGTGCAATGTGATGGTGTGTCGTGGAGTTTGAACGTTTGGAGCTGTAGTTTATGGTCCCATGCCATACAGTTATATTTTTGTGTGTGTGTGTGTGTGCGCAGGAGATGGAGAGTGCGATGGTTCACGCAGAACAGTGTGGTGGCCGGTCACCCCTGGTCTATGAATACCAAACCTTTCCAAATGTCACTTTGAAGCAGTTGATGGATGAATCCGTGCCTCTTTTACACTCTTCTTTCTCTTATTTATTTTTTTCCCCCATGCTTCCCCTATTCAGGAGATTGACCGGAAGGTAAGTCGAGACGTCTCTACATTCTACAGTTCTCTTTTTCTGTTTCCACGTAAAGTCAAGGTTTTGCTTTTTCCCCTTTTTCAGATTCTTTTTTCCTACCGGCTCCATATTTTGATGATTACCTATAATTATAGATGATTAAAGAAGTTCCGTTTATTTTCCACCTATATTAACAGAAGGAAGCCGTAACAATGATAAACATTTGTATGGGTCCCAAAGTTGTCTGTGGCTGAATAACACAGCTCTAAATCTTGCTTAAAGGTTTCACCACCTCTGTTTGCTTGATATGCCACAAATTGAGAGGTTGTTCCACAGTCAGAAATACGTGTCAGTAAAGAAAATAAAGCCGTTATCATCACTAGCACAGTATTCATTTATAATTAGATTTTCTTCGCTATCCCTCCAACCCAGTGTGACGGCTTTCTCCTCTCAGGAAGCGGATCCGCTCGGGTCTTATCTGCCCACAGAGAGTCGGCCGCACGTTTAGTGAAGGTCACAGCAGCGGGAAGGACGTTGGAGATTGGTAGTGCCGGGCAGTTTTTTACAGACCACGGTGCTCCTTTGCACTGAGAACTGATGTTATCCTCTTGACCTGATTGCGCTTTGGCTGAAGAGTGAACACAAGAGGACCAAGACGCACACACGCACACAATTCAGGCCAAGGCATCGTCCGTCTCGGCGACAGACACTCATTGCTGGCTGCACGTGCACATATTCCCCCGCATGCAAATACAGTGTGGTCTAACATTGAATGACAAAGATCAGTCTAATCCATCACCGGAGGCTCTGCGTTGCGCCCTAATGTTTTGTCACTTTTCTGATGTTCACTTGTGTATGTGTCTGTTTTGTGATCAGTCTCGTAAAATTGGGGCCCCTCCAATGAGCACACAAGTGATGTTTTTTGTGTGTGTGTGTGTGTGTGTGTGTGTGTGTGTGTGTGTGTGTGTGTGTGTGTGTGTGTGTGTGTGTGTGTGTGTTAGGCCAAGCAGCTGGCGGCCAGAGAAGCAGACCTAAACAAGCAGGATGCTTTCTACAGAGAGCAGGTGGCTCGGCTGGAGGAGAGGGTAAGACACCGTTTGCACCATAAGCTAACCTGAAAGCTGCTTATATGTGGACACTGGTTTTCTCCACCCAATTGGCTTACATGAGCTATTTAGTTACTATAAAAAAAAAGCGATCTGAATCATAAGGCGTTTTAGTTTCACTCAGCTCAATTTCATGGCCAAAGTTGAAGAAACAACTTTTCTTTTCTCTTTTTTTTCTCTGCCAAATTCTCGAAGTAAATCCCAACATGGTGATGTTAACATCTGGAATGCAGATGCCAACACATTTTGAAAGACAACGTACTAATGACGTATTCAGGGCTCTGCTAGTCTCCTGTGCATGAACATGTGTTGGTCAGAGAAATGGAAATGGGTTAAAAAAAAAGATAAAGAACAGTACCAAAAGAAAGCTCTCACTTCACAAGGTGAAGCAAACAATAACTTTACAGTTCCCAGCGGGATATAAAGCGAAACCTAAATGATGCATTGTGCAGCCAAAAGTAAGATGACATCATCGCTATTTTAAAGAACATACATCTCGCACACTGCGGATCGTTGTTGCCCGCGGAAACCTTTCGTAACTCTATTCATCTTTAATTGTCGACACGCGGCAGCCGAGATGCACCACAGAGTTCAGGTGAACAAGCGCGCACACACAGATTAATGCACACCGTTCAGCCCCTTTGTTCATTTCCTTCCTCCCTCTGTCCCACTGTTTTTGTCATCCTCATCCAACTTAAACGAGACACGCTTTCCCCAGTGTGCCGCTCATCGCTGTCTTCCTCTCCTCTTGTTCTCCGTCTCTCTCGAATTCTCTTTTGCCCTTTTTTTATTTTCCCCCAACCGCCCTACTTCAACCTGAAGGATAAAAGGTTGCGTTTCATTCATCCCAGTGTGTGTCCTCCTGGTGGCCCGTAAATGCTGTTACGCTGATGTCCTTGTCAAACTGGCGCCCTGTGGCGAGGGGTGATGACGAGGGTCCGCCGGCGTGCTCGGCCCACTTCAAAGGGCAGCTCCATGCTGGTCCCAGAGTGAGATGCCTGCAAGGCCGGCAGGCAGGGTCAGATGCCCAGTTAGAGTGTGTCAAAAGAAGGACGCCGTCATGCTGCTCTAAAGTCACAAGTGTATCTTGGGAGGGGATACAAGGCCACATTTAATGTGCCTTAAATGACGCCTTCATGCCGGGAAGGAGTTTACTCCCCCCGCTCCCTTTTGGACTATGCAAAAAGTCAAACGCTCTCAGTGGTGAAAGCAGAAGGGAGATTTCCCACTGCTGCGAGGCCTGATATGCAATGAGGAGGAAGACTCTCGCATCTTATTGCTCTCGGAAGTTGGATGGACTCACCAATGCTTTTAAATAAAGTTTTCTTTTCCCGCGGATGTGTTGTTTCCCATTAGTGGACACTTTTCCGGTTGGGTCAATAAGGCAAATGTTCCCTCCTTCACTCAGGACGCCTTCTTAAGCCAGTGGGTATTGAGTGGCGGTGGACTTCTGTCAGTAATTGGATGTGCATTGGGCTGCACCGCTCTGGTTGCGTAGCGGAGGGGAGAGGGCGGCAGTCCACTGACGTCAGGGGAGGGCGACAGATAACCGCTGCACACATCTAATCATCTTTTCGTACTCTGACGACGGCCCGGCACAACACCTGAAAATGTTGCTGTAGAGCGCTTGCCCAGCGTGGCCCTACTGCACAAAATGTGAGTCCCCACTAACACGGGCATTATCGACTGGAGGCGCTGACCATCCATCTGTCATGTTGGCTACTGGTCAATATTCCTGAGATCAAAGTGTCAACAGATCCCCTTCACACCTCAGGGAGAGAGAGGGAAGAGCTACTGTACTGAAGAGGGAAGCTAAAGGGGATAAAGAAACACTCCAGATACAAGACAATAATAGACTCGATAGAAAAGGAGAGGGGACAGCTGGAGACAAAACTGGAATGAAATGGATTCTACCTGCGAAGGTATCACAAGAATTATGACAAGGTGACATTTGTGAGTGAGGATAAGAGCAAGGAAAAGACCGAAGTAAAAGCAGGTGGAAGAGTGCTTCAAAGATAAAATGTCACCAAATGATAAAGAACAAGAGCGTAAAAAGAAAAGGTTGCAAGAGAACTAAAAGCCAAATCACTGAATGGTGAAAGTAGGTTGAGTGTGAGATTGCCCTTTTTCTAACCCGGTTTCTAAGGAAAAATAAGCATTTACTGGATTCTATTAGGCATCATTTACATCTCAAAAGCTCTGTCCATCATCATCTTTTTCATTTTGTATTGCAAGTTTTTGTCGGGCTTCCTTGCTGAGCCAAAACACGACACAAGTGGCGTACTTGCGTGTGTTTGTGGCGACGGTTGCTTGATCCTCCGTGTACATGAGCATCATTCATGGGCACGTCCTCTGGCTGTGGAGGCTCCGCAGGGGGCGCAGTCAGCTTGCACCAGGTCAAAAGCACTCCCGTTTCACGTGCCCGCCTCATCCGGCCCCCTCAGCCGTGTTCTTGTGCACTCTGGCTGGGTTGAAAGCGTCTACTTCAGATGTGTGAGCTCGGTACGTTATTATTGGAGTGAATAGAGGGAGTGAGGGCAAACAGACAGGGAGATACAAACACGGACCAGCGTTTATGAAAGTGGAAGGATCAAATGTAGCCCTCGCCAAGCCGCTTGGCTCAATAGAGGGACTCCTGTCCTACGTTAGCACCCCATCTCTTGAGCTTAAGAAACATTTAAAGATGCGACTTTGGGGAAACGATCCGTCGCAAGTTCATCGAAGCGCCTACAAACAGCATGGGGGTCAAAATACGCCTTTTGAACATTCATAAAGAAAACCCATCAACTTGTATAACTTCAAGGAATATAAGGAACAAAATATTTGGCCGTGGAGTAAAAACGCGCCGCTGCTCGCTGGGGCGGTGAACAAGGCACGAGCGATTTCACTCGCAGTGTGCTCCGGATTTCCCCAGCATCTCGCACGCCGCCACGGAGAGGCCACCAAAAGAGAGAGAGAAAGAATGAATATAAGTCTGATATATATTACACGTCTGTTCCAATCCAACATAGCCATTCATCAGAGGGGCTTCCAGTGACAGGCCATCACCAGCTCAGCCTGCTGCTGCTGCTGCTCATTGGGGCCACAGCTACCAAATAGCCCCTGGAAAAACAATATCTATATATTTATTAAATTTTCACTCAATACCTGCCCGGCTGTAAAACAATCTCATATTTAACAATCAACTTGCCCATGTTGGGTTTTTTTTGTTGTTTTTTTCTTGTCTTTCCCAGCCCTCCCTCCTGGACACATCTGTCTCTCTATATCCATTTTTCAGATTATATTTCTTTATTCTTTTTGACCTGTTTTTTTTTTTTTTCCTTTATGCCTCAATTTTCTTTTTTTCTTTTTTTTTATTCTGAAGGGATTTTCTTCTTTCTTTTCGCCTTGTATATCGATGAAATTGGATTTTTCTGCTCTCCTATGGAAGACAATCACTGCAGCAATTGCCATCTCACATCGAAGCACCACCACACTGTGAAAGGAAGACATGCGGCGGAGAGAGTATTAAAAAAACAGTAATAGCTTCTATCTCTTTCTCTGACTTGGCGTCTTCATCTCCTCCTCAGTTTCTCATTTCTCCATCCTCTACCTTGCGATCTTTTGCCCTCCATCTCTTTCTCTCTCTGAAGTCTGAAGCTCAAATTTTAAGCACATTTTTCTTGTTGTTCGCAAAGAACTTTGAACAATTAAAAAATTGATCCCGGCCCCCAGCAATCAATGGAGCCTCTCTGCTACTTTTATACCTGGAGACCCAGTGATCCGGAGTGAAAACGTAACATTGTGCCGCTGTGTTGAATTATCGTGTCAGAGACTGTTTGCTGTCGCCGTTGCCTGATGGCATTCAGGGAGTTTTAACTGCAAAGCTTTTTCAAGGAAAGGCAGGACTCATATTAGTTATTGTAAAAATAAAAAAAGATGATAATAAACTGACTGCAGTAGATGCTCCACAGGCCAAAACAACATTACTGACAAGCAACTTTTATACTGTCTGCTTATATGGCTAATTTCTTTGCACAGAGGATGATTGATTCATTGAACACATGGTTAGTTAGTTTTAGCATTATATTGAAGTATTTTTATATTGAAAAGTGATTTAGGAGGAAATTTGATAAACTCAAAACGTTAAATTGGCCTTATAAATATATGTAATAACAAACCAAATGGGAAATGCAAATGCTCTAACTTTGCTCAAAGTTAGACTCTCACGTCTGTACATATTAATCAGCTGGTTAGCGTATCTTAGCACTAAGTCTGGAATTGGGGAATTCTGGTGTGAAAATGCATGAGGTAGCCAGTGGTTTTTGCTCTCTGGTCTTCCATTCAACATTTGACCAAACATTCCATCCCAAATTTGCCTCTGATCACATCTTTCCCTTTTTATTCAATCCCCAACACTGGCCTTTGCCTCTCTTCCTGGGCACATGGTGAGAGATGCCTGAATCGTATGTAGTTACCGCTGGCTAGAACTGTGCATGAGGGATGGGCACAATAACTGTTTAACAGCCTCTCTGCTCTCCTTACGAGCGAGTGGAACACAGCGCAGGTCTCATTTACTCCGCGGAACTGCGGTGTCGGCCACGGTGGGGTTTCTCCCCATTTCGGCCCTCCTGCTCAGCTGCAGATAAGAGAAAGAAGCCATCAGTACGCAAAGTTATTTGTTTTTACTCGTTAAAAATGCCAGGCTTTTATTCTAAATTGAGCAGGAGCCTGTGTTGGCGGTGCGGCCTCTATCTTCTCCATATCGCTGCAGTGCATTAGCAGTAATGACTTAATTTGTCTGTGACACCCCCCCCCACCAGCTTTTTGTTTGGCTCCGGACGAGCTAAAAGAGCCAACGGAAGGCAAATGGAGTAAATAGAACCTGAAAACGCTGTTTTTAGGAGGTTCTCGTAGCGACGAGCGATTCCGCTCACCCACCGATGAAGACTCGCTTGGCAGAGAAACAAAAGTCTCTTCGTAAGACTAAAAACAAGGTAATGATGTTTCGCAGCCCCAACAAAGATTTTTCCTCGGCGGGCTAACAAAAGGTTAGGGCTTCTCTCGTAATCAGTCGGGGCTGCGGCCGGAAATCACGATTTGACACCACTCGGTAATCACACAAATTACGCTCTTCCCTGCTCTCTCTCTGGTGGTACGAGAGGTTTTGTGTGTGCGTGTCGTTGTTTAAAGCCAGCAGGGTACGTGTTGATAATTTGGCAGCATGTCGAGACACACACGCACGCACACGTGTGTTACTAGCTTGTGCATCCCGGTGTCGGAGTGAATCCACATGCAATGTTTGCTTGTGTGCACTGTGAGTGGTCCTGCAGTAGTTTTCACACATGGTTTCTTTTTTCCTCCCAGGTGGATTTTTGTGCTGATTAGTGCCAGCGCGGCCATTTACGGAGGCGTTATTACCTTATACTTATTATTCTAGACACAGACCCAAATCCTTCTCATCCCGGCTCTCTTCCTCTTCCAAACGCTCAATTTCGGCACCCAGGAGAAGTCTTATTCTTGTCTCTTTAGCGGCTCCAAAATCTCTTTTTAGTCTTTTTATCTGTGAATAAGCTTCTCTTTTAAATCCTTTTCCTTGGCTCTTGACAGTTTCTTTGTCTACACCAAAACCACTTGATTCAAGGCCAAGAGGGCACAGATACAGCAGGAGCTTACAAGTTACCTCTTAAACTTGGGGCATACTTCTTTATTGTGTTTTACATACAAATGAATGCCTACCTGAGGGACTACTGCTCTAGGTACGCTAACCATTCAAACCCTTATTTTGTTTCTGCATCAGGTGGTTTTATATATTTCATGCAGCATCTTTATTTTTGTCACTTACGCCTTGCAAATTCCTCCCTGAATGTGTGTTTTGGACTTGCATGGAGAGGTTTGTTGAGGTCCTCACTTAATTTTGAGCCGATGGGCATTAATCCTTTCCAATCAATCATGACCAAGTGGACTTTAGACATTTCAAAAGCGATCAGAGAGGAAAAAATGACCTAATAAATTGAATGTCATCGCAAAGGATCAAGCAACCTTTTATCCAGTTAAATTCCGTACAAATACACTATAAATACTGTCGACATACCTAAAAACATCATTTTTGTATGCATATTAATGTATGAAATATCTAATTGGTCTCAAATTACATGTGTAACTGTTTGGGGAAAAAATTCTACTCAACACGGAGTGTGAAATCATTAATCAGGAGATTTATTTTTGCGAGGAGGAGCAGAGTTGTAAACGAATGTGTCTGTCTCGTAAAATATGCAGTGATTTGCAAGGTCGGAAGCTCTGTTGAAACATTTGCTCAGCCTGATTTTCAGTTACTAAGACAGAACAGTTTGTCTTTATTTTTCCAACATTAACTAGAATGGGACTCTGAATCCGTTGCAAACCTTCAGAGTCCGTCGAAATGAAGAGGACTCAAATGAGTATCGGACCTTTTGTCAGCGTTGTCATGTTCCATCTTCTTTTAGCTCTGCAACGCACAACTATTGATCGTTTCAGCAGCGCAGTTCATTCCTATTGATCTCTTCTGAACTATGATGAATGTCTGAGATCCTACAAGGTTAAGTCTGGGCAGATGGGACCGGGATGCTTACATTTGTCACATTTCTGCTGTGTCTGTAATTTATGCAGGGTGCGCTAAGTGTCTTGTGTCCAATCAACTTAAGGTTGATTTTCCCCCTTTTAACAACACAGAGATATGATAGAAGTCACAATACCATCGTTATGTGTGAGAAACCAGACCATATTACAAGACGACCGTTCTCCTCTCCTATCAGCAGCCTTTCTGCTCCAAATTTGTTTTGTGAATTGGCTGATTATAATCTGAGATTTGTAACCAAGCCATACTTCATATAGTAACGATTGAAACAAACTACAATCTTTCTAATAATTGCATGTCATTTTAATATCTGTTTGCTTGCGTTAGCTTACTTTTTGATCAAAAGCATTAGTAGGTCATATTCGGCACTGGAAGACGCTGCCAGTTTTTTTTTTTTTTTTGCACCTGGATCGAACTTCGTGCGACCCTAAATCACGCCATCCATCAAATTTAACAATCTGTCAGCGTTTGATCATAAATGTGGATAACAGCCACCGAGGGCTGCCAGAGCGATCTTCCCCGGGCGGTGCAGGCGGCGGAGGAGCCCCGTTATACAGCCGTGTTTGAGGAGGTAATTCCGGCTGAGGGGTCCTGCTACGGGTTCATTTGCTCCAGGTCACTGGGGAATTTCGACTGGCTCACTGCTCGCTGTTGACTAGCGGCCCTCCGACCTTACAGGATTGCCGCCTGTTATTACAGCGGTCGTTTGTGAGGGGATAAGCTCCAGCGTACACACACACAGACATCGGCCATAACTCACGCACACTCGCGCAGAGAGGCAAACATAGGCGCAGGCACCAGAGCGAAATAGAACAGTGCCAATATTTTCCACCGTTGCGGACGTCACATCCAGGCATATATCTCTAACCTGTAGACATTGTATTTCACAAAGCTTAACTTCTAAGTTTTGTAAGATAAGCCTAAATGGTAATAGAACCCCCCCCCACCCACCTCAATATCCCTCTTCATAAAGTTTTTAATAGACTTTAGATGGTGCCAGATGAGACAGGACTGTGTAGACTCCGCTCACAGTAGGCAGGACCATATCCCATCCGAACTGCTACGAGGTGTCACTTTGCCGAAATGGTTCCTTTTTTGCCTAAATAGCTTCAACCTGAGAGCCGGATGATGTGCGATGATGGGAAATTGGATGGACTTTTTTTATATAAGAGATAGCAATCACAGCTTCGTGCATTTATCTCACTTGCTGGCTTTTCTCCCCCTGTCTCTCTGCAGAGTGCTCAGTTCTACAAGGTCACCACGGAGAACTATCATAACGCCGCCGACCAAGTGAATGCCAAGTTCAAGTAAGTCTAGACGCTGTCTGTCCGACGCAGAAAAACGACTCATACTAAAGTATAACCTATTCTTTAAGTTTACCTGCCAAAAACGTTTTTCTTTCATCATATACTGTAGGCATTAAGCTGGCTGAGCTTCCTGCGTATTATCTATAATGATACATTTCATTGAAGATTAGTCCATGTGGGCCAGTGGATAAACTATTGAATCATGGCGAGCCACATCGTAACCCATGTCTTTCAATCAGGATCACATTAGCCGCGTCCATTAGCTGATGTTGATGATGTGGTTCACTGATAAGCCTGATTGCATGTTGATGATAGCTGAAACAGCGTTTACTGGGTGCCTCTTTGTGTTGTTTTGTAAGACTTTATCTTCATAAGCCCGACCTGGGTCAAATCATTTGCAACAGTTTTAAATTACTTAGTTACCATTTCCCACATCAAGACACATTAAAGTAGCCATTAATCTTTGTGCTTCAGACATGACATTCATTTAGCTTTATTACAGATTGTTTGCATCTATTTTGAGCGAAAGTGCCACAATGCATCATGAGTGAATGTATGGTCCTCGCTGGGAAAGCTGCACTCTGTTATAGGCTCTAAATACAAGTCACCGACACACCTTGCAGCGAAAGAATGGTTTCAGCAAAGGAGGTAGTAATAATAAACATCCAAGCAGGCAGGGATGTAGCACATATCCGACACGTATATGTAACTCAAGAAGATGCAGAATCCCTCCTGGTCCGTGTTCCATCTGTCTCCTTTAATAGGAGCCCATTAGGCTCCATAGTAATGTAGGAAAAGTGGATGAGGAGCCTGTAGGAGGCGGGGCAAGAATGGGCCCCAGCTCTGAGCGCTCCTCCAGGGAGGCTAGGCTAATTGTGTTAGCTTGTCATTAGCCAGCGCTAACACTGGGATCATTGTCTCCCTCAGAAATGCTGGAAACTGATTAGCCTGGCCCACCGGGGGGTTTAGCGCGGGACTCGTGGAAGCCGGGGCCGAGACTTCCCAAATCACATTAAAGAAGGAAAAAAAACAAAAAAAACAGCTGGAATAACATTAGTGCCGAATGACAGTGCTAACTGCATGCGAATGTTGGACTAACGTGCGGGTAGTCATGTGACGCAGGCCTCTGCACGAAGAGCGGCGATTGGCTGATTGGATTATATAGGAGGTGCATTAGCGTGGTTGTGACTGGATTACAATTGTGGAAGGGTAGAAGAGGGTGGGGCGGGGTTGTGCATCTCCGTGTGGATGCGAGTGTGCATCCGTGTGTGCTAATGAAATGGCGGGAAGCTCTGGTGTTACAAGGCAGGGGCAGGGACGCAGAGAGGGGATCAGAGCGGAGGGTTAATTGGATTTAACGGGGCGTGTTCGGCCCTTCTTTATTTGCGGGTGTGTTTGTATGCACTCATATGTCGGACATAATGTTTGTGCCTTTTCTGGAAGTTGTCTTTCTTTTGTGTTACACAACAGAGACCCCACAGAGATGAGCTCAGTCTCGACCCTCTGACCCATTCAGACCATCAGTCGAATAGTAACAGAAAAAATGTTTTGTCTCGCTTGTCTTGATTCCCTCAAAGTTGGAAATGTCCTTCCAGAAACAAAATACCCCAAATGTCCCCACTTGATGGAATTAGCATTTGATATGGTAATGCCAGTGTTATAAAGTGTGTGAGATTACATCTTTCTTCTTGGAGTGTCCTCATTTCCCCACTCCAGCTAATGGGATTGATTTAGTTTTAGGGCTGATATTAGGCTAACGTTTAGTATAGGGACCAGAGGGATCTGCCAGTCAAGGGTTATAACTGTATATGTGATTTAGCAGGTTTAATTATGGCTGTTGGGGGTGTGTGTGTTTACCATACGAGATGAGATCATTTGGGAATATGAGAGATTTCCAATGGAGGAAACTGTTGTTACTTTGTGACAATCGGATCAGGAAAAATAACCCGAGGGGGAATGGGAGCAATGTATGTGTCTTTTTTTGTTCGATGCTCTGTAATAGCCAACATCGGACATAATTATTTTGATTTTGAAATGTCAAAAAAGAGCAAAAACATTCACTTGAACTTCACTAATGTGTCTGTTTGTGTTGGCTGTACAGCTGTTGGCCGCCTTTATTCTGCAGTATTCCCACCAGAGCTTTCTGAGAATGATGGAGCATTCCCATCTGAAACGCTACTGCATCACTGTGACCTCATTACAACACACACGCTCCCACATATATCTAGATATAGTTATATGTAGATATATCTACATTCTGCCAAGCATTCTCACAGCTGTGGCTTCCTCAGCCAGAGCAATACTTATATGAAAAGAACAAATCTCATTTCTGCATGATGCTTGAAATAATTGCACCACGACAATCTAAACATTTAGAATTTGAATATATTTCACCATCGAAAGTGAGGAGCAAATACTGCACTATTACTGTGAAGATGCCTCTTGAGTGTCTGAAATTGTTGCCGTGAATCATAAACTGCACTCGACAACCTGGACAAGAGACATTTGCTATGCAGCACTTCCACTTCCACGTAAATACACACAACATGTTGCAGATAATGCAATCTTGCGGTATGTTTGGAGGCGCACGTACACATAACACCGACGCTTTTATTCACTTCCCCTGTGACGCCAACTGGCGATAAGAGCTCCCGGTTGCCTGTGAAAAGGAGGCTACTGTATCTCTCCCTGCCCCTGATTTATATCCTGCCACCCCTTCACCACCAGTTGTTTATCCCCGTCTGATGCGTTATCACGCCGTCCACCACTGAATGTGTGACCTTTACTGCTCCACATGTATGTAAGAACGCATGCGTGTGTGTCGAGATGGAGGAATGAATTAGTGTGCTCTCATATATGCATATGGATGTCTGCTTTTCCATTTCTTTCGCGTGTGTGTGTGTGTGTGTGTGTGCGCCCTAAACCCGCTGTCACCGCTAACCTTTGGGGCTGTGGGCTTCTTTGTTGCAGCAGGAGGTCACTCACTCTGTGTTGGTCCAGGTTCCCTGCAGAATTGAGTTGGTCTGATAGTCTGATGGTAGTGAATGGGTATAATACTGGTAACCCCCCCCCCCCACCCCCCCACCGAAAAAATTGGCCACAGAGAAAGAAAACTCATTTTCTGTTGCCTCATTGTCAACAGTCTCTTCCTTCGAGCTAAACTTTTTTTTTTTTTTTTTATAAATCTTTTCAATTACTCCATTCGACAACAACGGCAGGCGCCCTCCTCGCTCCGTCCCCACGCGCACGCCAACGTGGAATGAGGAGGCGTGGAGCAGAACTTGTTGAATGTAAATGTTTTCCATCACTAGGCGCCGCGTGCTGCGCTGCTCAGGTCAAAAGACGTCTCGTCCGTACCACCTGGGAGACGGCAGAATCCAACACGTCCCTCTTCCAGCCCATTTTCTTCCCCCCCCCCTTCTAGCATTGACGCATCGAGCGAGATTGCGAGCAAACTTTGTAATTAAGTTGCTCCTCAAAATTGAGATTCAGCACGACTGCCCTTTTGTTTCAATCATAGTAAACCGAGATTGTGGTCGAGTTGATGCCTGATTGTGTCGTTCAAGCTCCTCTCAGTAATTTTCTACAAACCGTTACGTTGTTGTCAGAGGTTGTGGACACAACGCAATCCAACACGCCTTGCAGCATTATTGCGTCGTGCATTTGTTTAATCTTTGCCATTACTGGAGAGGATAATTACTCTGGAGAAAGCCCGGCAAATCCAACCCCTTCATTTCCATTTTTTTATTTTCTCTCTGTGCTTGTTTAAGTGTAAATAGCAGTCTATTGACGCTCAAACGCGCCGAGCAGCACTTTTAATTACTCAGCCGGAAAGTTATCGCAGAGTACTTCAGTCGGAGCTGTTCAGGCGTTTTTTCCTTTTGAAGTAGCCCTCGCCGGCGAAGCGGGAGAACCCCGAGCAAGGCTTTGACCCCCCCCCTTCTGCCAGGTGAGGGACGGACCGCGCATCTGTCGCTAGGCAACCCGTCCGCTGGAACAAGAAGGAGACGGAAGTCAACAAGAAAAAGAACTGGCAACTCCGTGGGCTCACATTTCGCACCTTTAACGCTCACGGCCTTTATTGCCTTTTCGATATTCTCTGGGGGCTTTGCCGGTCTGCTGTGTCCCCTGCGTGTTGGTGAAGAGGGGTCGGAAAGGTCATCCTCCTTTTTTTTCTCGTTTTACTCTCCTTCCTCGTCGGCCTCGCTGCTCACTCACGCACAGCGCTTTTCTCTCTTAATTCAAATCCCTCTTTGTTATCTTGTGCTTTTTGCCTCCCTCGCTCATTGAAAACACACTTTCTCCTGTCTTGTAGTCCTTTATCCCGCACGCTTTTATTTTCCCAACCCTCTCCCCGTGTCTCTCTCTTATTTAATCTCTCATCCATGCTGATGGCTTTCACTGCGGGGGGTCACTCGGGTCTGCTTTTAAAAAGCAGCATGAGCGAAATGTGTGTCATTTTTCTCCTTAACTGGATCATTTGTATTTATTTGCCCCCACTCGGTACTGACGCCCGCCTTAACTAGAGAGAACATGAGGGCTTCTTAAGGGGGAACCAGCGCCCACCCTTTAACCCTATTAACCCCTAAGTGGACCCAAATGATGATAAATAGAGAATGTGGTGATTTGGAACTCAATCCGGCGGCAGCCGAGTGCAATCCGTGCTGTCGGTGGAGCTGCGGGAAGCGTTGGAGATGTATGTAGGCAAAGTCTGATTTCGGGGAAGATAAATATTGGCAACCTGCGGGACGTTCTGACCCATTCAGACCAGAAAGTGTCTTCTAGCGGTTTTTCTCAGACACTTTCTTAATGGTAATGGTAAGTCCATTCAAAGAGTAATAATTTTTTGGCACTAGACAAAGTCTCCTGTTTACTTATTCTTTTGATTAACAGAATTATTTATGAGTCGTGAAACTGCCAAGCGGCCCGTTTTTGCCCGAGAGAAGATATAGGACAGGATCCGATGTGCGCAGCGACGACAATCGGGACAGACAGGACCGTAAACTGCAAACGTAGCGGCTGGTTGAGGCAGAGACCCGCGAGGCGGTAATTAAGTTTATCTTATGTTAATTTCCTAAGCTGTTTTTCAGCGATTGCAGATTTATTGCCCATCCGCTGCCTGCTGTGTCATTCTTTATTTATTATCGGAGGGAAGCTATGCTCTTTTATTTGGACTTAAAGGCTGCACTGCAACCCTCTGGACCCGGTTCGTGCTTTCAATAGTTCCTTTTGACCAGGTAATGGGCGACGTGGCTCTGTCCGTGCACGCCTAACCTCTTTGTGTATAGGCCCTGGTGTGTGTGTGTGTGTGTGTGTCTTTGTTCTGAGTTTTTAATGCATCTCAAACGATGACGGATGAACGTACATCTTTCCAGATGTGTCTCACACTTTGCTCAGCTATCGAAGCATGTTGGGCCCTTAACAGAGATCTATGAATGTCATTTCAGAGCGCTGGCTTGAAGTAGTCACAGCAGATGGTAGTCATGGTCAATATGTGTTGGTTTGAGAAATGTACCCGCGTTCCGTCTAACGTATGCATAGTGTAAGAAAATCCCAACATCGATCTCAATATGGTCTACTTGCAGTCAATACGTCCTTTGAAGAATGCTGCTATTGGAATATGACCCCCTCTATGGAAATGTGCTGACTTCTGCGGCACGTGGGGGGGGGGGCTTGAAGGAAGGGAATGCATTAAAGGATATAGAGACACCTTGAGGAGGGAGACAGTGATCGAGGGGGAGCAAGGGATCAGTTCTGCCCTGTTACATGTTAAATGGGACACATTCTGCCCCTCCTCTCAAACTCCTCAAGGAAAAGGGAGTGAGCAAAGTTTCAGCAGCAGTGCATTGTGGGGGGGGGGGGCACCTCCTCTCGCCTCTCCACGCTGTTTTTCTGCTCCCCGTCTCAAACACGTTCTCCATCTTTGTTGCAGCCTCTCAATGAAGTGGCTTCTCTTTGGGGGGACTTTGTGCTCCCTCGAACTTTTTTTTGCCTGCCGCTCTTTGCCTTTGGATTATAAACCGGGACGAAATAAGTGGAGAACGATTTTCATTTGTATCACCCCATCAAAGCAATGGGGTCTGGTTTGGCGTGGGGTGGTTTGTGTGTGTGTGTGTGTGTCTAATTTGGGGAGGGGGGAGGGGGGGGGGTTGATATTGTTGTTGAGACCTTTACCACTGATGGCACGAGGCGAGACCCCTATATGACTGTTTAGATTGACTGTCTCTAGGTGCACACGCACACACACACACACACACACACACACACACGTAGTGCAAATAATAACCAACTGGCGGGATGTTTGTTTGAGTCTCCCACCACATGTAGTTTTATTAAACATCCTAAGAACCTCTCAGGGCTGAGAGAGGGAATAAAGGAATAAAAGCGGATAGAGATGGGGGGGGACTTTTCTGTTTAATTGTGCAGAGTTTTACATCCTTCGCCCTCTAAAAAAAAATGTAAATGTAACAGCGTGAGAAGGAAAATTGCTAGTCATGGGCACGCACGCTGTGATAAGTAGATATTGCTTAATAAAAACAGGTCAGAAGCAAAGGAGTTTGGGAGCTGCTGGCCAATACAAAGAGTGTTCACGTACTGTTAACCAAAATATAACCAAACCAGAGCCGCAAAAATATGTCAAAGCAATTTATTTTTAATTTCCATTAAAACCGCTACGAAAAAGCTTTTTCTTTTTGAGTGTGATACAGTATAAACGTTTGTAAATGCCTCACTGCTCAGGTTATGCTGGATCCGGATGATTCACATGGTCTTGACCATATTTGTAATTATACCCCATGATGTGCTCTGTGGAGGAATCAAATGTGTTTATTCTTTGCTGTGTTTTACTCCTGATAATAGATCTCAGTCTGAATTCAGCACGCAGAATATAGCCGTTGGTGTTTTGTAATTAAACCCAAAAAAAAGATCACGATTTCCCCAAGTTCGCCTTAAACTGAGTGCAAATGTATTTTCATCACTAGGCTGAAAGAATTTTGTGATTTACCTTGAAAAAAAAAAAAAAAACAGCTCCCCTATTTAAATAGTAAGATTTGAATTGATGGATTCATACGTCGTTTTCTTTCTGTATTCGGCATCATGACGTTATATTATACTGCGAAAAAATCCATAAATTTAATTAACTAAAGGTAGTAAACGGTCATCCTCCGTCGGTTATGGTTTACAGCGTATTCTTGATGTGACACGTTGACCGTCGTTGCCTCTGCTCACCCCGCTGTGGTAAATGAGGTGAGGCGCTCCTCGTGTAAAGCTGAGCATGCAGGGAGGGGGCGGCGGGGATGGGTTGTAGGCTTTCGTTTTTAAGGGCTCCGCTCTTGCGGCTGGCTGCAGGAACTTTATGTTAATCTTAATGATAGATGATGGAGGGTGCAGCGTGCCGCCACAGAGTGTGTGTGACAGTGTTATTGTCTCCATGATAAACCCACCGAGGAGAACCGGAGCGCAAGCAAAAATAGAAGTACGACCGTCTACTTCCTCATCAAGCAATGCTCTTCATTTCGACCCCCTTCCCCCTCATCCTCTTTCTCTCCCCGGTCCTCTTTTCTCAATCTCCCTCTTCCCCCCCCCCCCCCCCCACCCACCCCCCCCTCTCTCTCCTTCTCTGAGGCCATTACCGGTGATAAACACTGTGGTTTGTATCAGCAGCATGCACCTGGTATTAGCGCAAACGCTTAGAAAATAAAGAAGTAATTAGTGAGTGTTTGTGGCTCCTCCCGTCCCTGTAGATGCCCATAGGGGTTTGTAATGAATGAGCACTGGGATCCATAGGAATAGGATGGCAGTGATTTCTGCTGGCGTCGCTGTCATCGTTCAGTAGCCCGACGCAGAGCAATGGCCTTGTCATGCCTCCCTGCAAATGACTGAATTTCTCCCCAACGGTGCCGCAAATGCAGAACCTTCTCCACACAGCCGGCGGCGTGACGTTTCGCTTCTGCACTCGCGAGTAATAACGCCTAGCGTGGAATCAACCAAAGTCTCCACGGGAGTGGTTCGGCATTTTGGGAAATGTGCGCGTTCACTTCCTCGTGGGAGGATCGGATGAATCGGATTGATACCGCGCTCGCGTGTGCGCAGTGAATGTTGAAGCTGGCAAACGAGCGTGTTGTACATCCTCCGAAGGGGGAGAACGTTGACCTACAGGAGGAGGTGCAGAAGGTGTGGCGAGCAGCTCTCTCTGTTGTTATTTTGTCTGGCTTCCTCGAGAAATATCAAATATGACCATGTGGTGACGCACATATGTACACATCGATCCCGCTGCGCCAGCCTCCCGCTGCACCCCCCCCACCCCACCACCTGGGTAATGACCCATGCGACCAATCCCCTGCTCTGTATCTAACAGGGTTGTTGGGGGTGGGGGTAATTTTCCTCACAGCAGGGAGCAAATCAAACATCTGATTGTGACTCCAGGGGAGCGGATTCACGCCCTAGTGTTCCTTTGAGAGCCGCAGAGTTGCTGACGGGCGAAATCTCTTTCACACCCACGCGAGCCGTTTAGCGGGACAGACGGGGTGTCCTGGGCACTGGCGTGAACAAAACGATGACACCGCCATTAGCATAATGGCCCTAGCGCGCACATGTGTCGTCGTTATGGATTTTTATGGGGTGTGTGGAGAGAAAGACAAAAGCAGTTAACATTGCCCCCCCCAGAGAACGTCCCACTGCTCAGATTGCCGAAAAGAAATCGATCCAGATTTACATTTAACATAAAAAAAGGCGCTGAAGTTTCAGCGTAGCAGCTACTTTTTAGAATTGCCCACATCTGGATGGCAGCGGGGAAGTAGCGGGCCTTGTGGGCGGCCTCGGGCGTGCTAAGCTAGTGGCGTGTAGCGCATTCGCCTCCCACAATAACAGCCTCCTGGTGGATGCAAATAGATTTAGCCATTTAGGGCGCTTGAAGGTGACAGCTTTGTAAATGGTTGACTCCTTTAGGGTGCAGCTCTGAATCAATGGATGGAATCACTGCAGTCCAGTACAGTGATCAATAGGCTTCTGTTTTTTGAAAGCGTATTTCAGTGGTAAGGCATAAGAACGGGGACTAATTTAAAAGAAAGTACACTTAGCTCGCCGGTAATTTGAACCTCATCATCGTTATCGTCATCATCATCACGTTGTAACAACTACGCCTTTATTGCTCGTCTAGATTAAACCGGAGCTGTTTTCTTGTTTACTCTGCATTACACATTGATTTGCCGAGTTAGCGTTCTGATGCACGCGGCCCCGTTGCACTGATGAACCTCCCTTTCCAGGGGATGAAGCCAATGTGGGAAGCTTTGTTCGACACCTGCTGTTGTGCGCTTTTAGAAAACCCTGCGACCTCTCCGTGGACGCAATACTGACAAGGACGGTGAAGAGCGATGTGCAGCTCAGCTTGTAACAATGCGTCACCACTGACATGCTCTGTATGACTGCGTCTCTCATAGTCATTGGGTCAATCCCTCCGCATTGCGTTTCCTTATGTTATTTTTGCACTTTTATCCTTCAATCTCATCCCATTACACTTTTTCCTCGAGCTGCCTCCAGTTTTTCCCTGTTTTTTACGCCATGTCTCTCCCCTTCTCGACCCCCGCAGGCGTTATGAGGCGTATCCTGTGTGTGCAGACGTGCAGAGCCAGATCCTCGCCTGCTACAAGGAGAACGTTGGAAAGACCCTCAACTGCTCCAACATCGCGGCCCTCTACCTGCAGTGTGTCAACAACGCCAAACAGGTGCTTATTTAACCGCACTAAGCTTTTATCGCTTGTCACGTCTCGTGTAAACGTCATTTGATCATCTTTCTAATCATCTTTTGCGTATGCACGCTATGTTTGTATGTGCTCGTTGCTTAACGAATGAGCCTCTCGCTGTGTACTGTACCCTTGTGAGTGCAACTTCATTTGTATGGGACTCTCAGAAATAATGTTGTTTTTTTTCCCCTCTGAAAAAAAGAACAACAAATGTGTGCATGCACCCCCCATGGACAGATGATATGTAAGTTGTGCGTTGTGGCTTTCATTTGAATCGATGTGTGCATTCCAAAGTCGCCGTGTGTGTGTGTTAGCTGCAGAATACGTCACCGGGCTCCTAGAGTGTGTGTGTGTGTGTGTCTGGTAGCTACACTTTCCAACCGGGCAACTGGCGCCTGAATAAAGCTCCGTCTAAATAGCCAGTCAAAACCTTACGGCCTATTTCCATAATACCTGCTGACACAGGCGCCCCCCCCCCCCTCCTCCTCCCCACCCTCTCTGACTGTCTCTGTGTGTGTGTTTTAATGTAATAACACCGAGGGAGTCAGAGTCGCTAGTTGGGCGCCACTGTCCCCTGCGTGCTCTCCCCTTCCATCGCCAAGTGCAAATGTTTCTTCCGCCTCGTGTGTCCCGCGGCCGCCCGCCGTATGCTAATAGTAATGCCACTCAGGTTCATATTAACTTGATTCCTCCTCCCTCACTTTGCAATATGTAACATCACTTGGCTTCAAAAGGCTCAATTTACATTCATAGAGCTTTTCTATTAGATTTTTTTTCCTCACTTTTTTTTTTTTTTATATCTTGCAATTGCATTGTTTTGCCGGAAATGAAGGAAACTGAGTTGTGTGTCTCTCGCTCACTCTCGTGGGTATGGGTATTAGATTTAAAAGTCAGATGCAGGCAGATTTTTAAGCTACACATCATGTAAATTGCACAATGTTTTATTCATCGCGTGGGCGCGCGGGTGCATTTAAGACGGCTACCTGTAGACACGGCGAGATTCGAGCGCGCGCTCGTAGGTCGGATGCTGTTATGATCTTGTAAATTGTTTGGAAGCAAGCCTGAGATGATATGTTAATCCGCTTGTTTATCACCCGCGGCAACCGCAGCACTCTCCTGTTCGTCTGCGCTTATCTGTATCAGACTCGCTTTTAAAGTCATTAGGTGCAAAAAAAAAAAAAAAAACGGGGGGAGAAAACATTAGTGTGATAAGGCTTTAAAGGAATAATATGCAGAATTACACAGCTGACAAAACGAGGGAAAGGGATGAAGTCGGATTGATACGGGCTGATGCGACGTCGCGATTAGGATGTTTACACAGCTTTATCGGAGGCACGCAGGAAGCTCCGCTGAGCAATATGTGTCAAAGGACACGACTTTGACCCCCAGGAGGGTCAGAAGATGGAAGCGTCCTCTCCTCGGCCCCCTCAGGGCAAAGAGGCTTGATTGCGCCATGCAGTTTCCCCCCTTCTTCGTCCTTGCCCTTCAAATCTTGAATTCCACTTAAAAACTGCAGCACCACGGGTGTAAATGGGTGTTGGGAAGATCTCCAAGATGCCAACAAGCTAGGGATAAAAGAAAATATCCCCCATCAATGTTGACCCCTGGACTGTCGGCCGAGAGCAAAGGCGCTGTCAGCCGGCCGGACTTTGTCACTGATAATTAGCGTTGTTATCGCCGGAGCCATTGATAACATTTCAACCCACTTTCAGTCTCTTTTGTTCCCTTTCTTTCCCTGCAACCGTCCCTCTTTCACTCCCTCCATCCCGATTCCCGTTCCTAATGCATTCAGCACTTAACCGGTCCAGATAGCAAACAGTGAGGAAGAGGCAGTCGAAGGACAGATAAAGCCCCCCTTTCATTCTCCCCTTATGAGTAAGGGTTTATCACGGGAGCCCATCTTTCCATCCGCCGCTTGCCTCCTCATTCCATATTCTCGCCACATGGCCGCGTCTTGCGCCCTATCGCTCCCTTCCCCGCTGCAGTTTTTTAGACTGACCCTTCCATCTCTGTCTTTTTACCCTCGAAGGGCGAGGAGAGACCCCTGCTTGTGGTTTCAGAGGGTGTTGTTTGCTCGGTTCAAAAGGTAAAGGGCGCCGGCTGGTGTGACTGTTGTCCTTTTAAGTATCGACGTGTCATTCCAAAATGCTCTCCAGTAAAGTTTTTTTTTTTTTTTTTTTTAAGATATAATTTTTCCTTTCTATATTCTTAGACTTCAGTATGTACATATTGTATTTAGTGACATAAAGCAAAAGCGTTTTGTTTATCTCGATCTATGGGAAACGATATGACATAACTTAAATCTATAAGAGCCCTTAAGGGATTCTTAAAATATTCATCAGGTGTCAGCACTCAGTAGTATAATAACCAATAGAAATAGAATTTATTAAAGTTGAGTTATCCTTTTAGTGACTCTTCAAGGTCCCCTAGTTCCTGCCTGGCTTCTACCGCAGAATAAAGTATCCTTAGACATCGAGAGCGCACAAAATAAACTAGGATTCCTTTGCAGAACTGAAAAGAAACTGACAGACTGTATCTCATCCCAAAAAAAAGATTAAGTCTGCCAGTGAGGAGGAAGGTGTTTTTCTCTCTTCCTTCGTCCCCTTCATCCCTTGTTTCCTCTGCCTCTTTACTTTCTTTCCCTCAGCCTTCTTCTCTTAAGCGCTTTTCATTCCGCGGCATCAGCTGCGACTGAAGCGCTCAAACGGTTATTGACGGGGAGACGGGGGGAGTGCCGGGGATTTGTGGTTGCACTTACCGCTTACATGGAATCCACTGCCCTCAGGTCGTCTTCTTCCTCTCCTTCACCTTTTCATTGTCCTCTCCGGCCCTCAGACTGCCTCGTCTCCTGCGAGGGACATGGCATCTTTCTTTTCTTCTATCTTTTCGTTTGTTTGTCTTTTTTTTATTCTTATTTTTATCTCCGTCTCTTCTAATGTGCTTTTTCTCTCCCTGCAGAGCAAGTTGAGGACCGGGGGTTAAAGAAGAGCGATCGGAACAAAGAAAGCGAACCGAAGAGTTTATTGTGTGGGATTACTTATTATCGACCGACCGACGGACAGACGAAACCCCGGAGTGGAGGAAGCGAGGAATGAGTCAGCACCAAGACGCTCAAGCAGAACCAGACCGGACCACAGGCACCGAGCACCGCACCCTGATAGAGAACCAGACACCCCACTCTCACCTTCCGTCTACTCCTGAGTGTGTGTGTGTGAGGAGGCGGGACACAGTCGAGCAGGAACCGACAGGAACCTGCAGGCCACAGTTTGGCCGGCTGGCTGGACGGTGAAAAGCACAAGAGAAGCTCGTACCCGTCCCCATCTCACCTCAACCCTGCTGGGATGATCCCGTCAGCCCTTTATTCCGTTGTCCATAATTCATAGTTTCCCTGCTGTACACAAATACACATGTATCCGTCTCTGCATCCGTTTGTGTGAGTTTGAGTAGTGTGAATAATGTAGCGACCCCGAGTATTCATCCGCACCAACACTTGTGACGATGTCTGATCAGAGGAAAAATAAAAAGACAAAACCATGCAGGAACTGTTGAGTTTTCTTCCCCCCCCCCATGTGTGTGTATCTCATGGTGATTACAGCGAGCATTGTACGTCTTTGATGGATGCGCGCGGGCCTCGTGTCGACATTTTGCCAGACAGAGTGAACGAGCCCACGAGGCGGTAGGGGGGGGGGGGGGGATGTGCCGGCGTAGCAGCCGCCACAAATGTTCTGGTTCACAAAGTAGCTGCCTGTCTGTCTTTACTCTGTTGTGCGAGTCCTCGGTGCGCTCTCGCTTTCCTGTGAAAGATTCCCCTCATTGTCCCTCTTTCTTTCTGCTGATGTACTCTTTTCTTTCTGTCTCTCTCCCCCCCCCCCTCTCTCTCTCTCCCTCCCTCCCTCCTTAACACGGCGTTTCCTCTCTGCTCAGTCTCCCCGAGGAGGAGACGGGGGAACGTCAGAGGGGACGCCGCCTGGGTTTGATATGGAGGCAGGTGGTTTTAGGGGCGACGTTATCTTAATAGCGCATCAGAAGATGGAAGTGTGTGTGTGTGTGTGTGTGTGTGTGTGTGTGTGTGTGTGTGACAGAGAGAGCGGACGAGCTGTGTGTTCGCGCAAGCATGTGATCCGTTCTAACTAATCCCCCTGTTGTCTGTCACTCAGCTGTCCTCTTGCCTTTTGACTTTTGGAGTCTCGAAGGGGTGAGGGGTTGACTTGTATTATACAGCCTGTGTGTGTGTGTAAAGGTCAGGGATAATGGCTATTAGAGTTCATGGCAGGTGTTTCTCCACAAGCCCCGTCTCCTTTTTTTTTTTTTTTTTTCTATCCCCACTATTTTGTCCTTTTTTTCCAAGCTGCAAGACTCCTCTATCTGACCCTCGTACCTCCGAGCCAAGATAAGTGATTTAACGGTGCATTCTGTCTGTAATGAGATTACATCCCCTCTAATGTCATTAAAGGATAATTAGAGAATCATGTGATCCAAACACGGAGCTCACCTTTTCCTTTTTTAAAGACATCCAACACGACCCCTTTGACCTTTTTTAGAGTTGCACAGCTTCAATGAGAATACACGTCCGAATTTATACCCCAGGCTCCTGAAGCTACAGTTAAAATAAACAATTTGTGGGGTGGTAGAAGTATCGACGTTTTCATACTAGGCTTTTTCTGGTACAAATACAGGAATAAATGTTCCTACTAACAGAGTCGAAAAAGGACAAAATATTCGTTTTTTCTTCCCCAGCTTCCACAAATGCTGCTCAGGCGTTGTGACGGCCCCAGGGCCACTGCCAGGGTATATGTGGGTGTGTCTCTGTCTGTGTGGGTGTGTGTGTTACAGGGTGAACTTCCTGGTGGAGTGGAGGCCATCAGGCAGATCCGACGCAGCTGGCCACTGTCCTGAGTGCATTAAAACCTGCCCCTTTCGGAGTGTTTGGGCGACTTCTGGCTTTCTCCGGAGCCGGATCATATGGCTCCAAGGCCACAACAAATACGAGAAACCACGCTACAGGGATTTGTCAGCCAACAATTTTATTTCTCCAATTTAACCGATTCGACCACCGAAACCACCATTGCGCTGGGGAACCGGAGAAAGCCAGAAGTCGCCCAAACACTCCGAAAGGGGCAGGTTTTAATGCACTCAGGACAGTGGCCAGCTGCGTCGGATCTGCCTGATGGCCTCCACTCCACCAGGAAGTTCACCCTGTAACACACACACCCACACAGACAGAGACACACCCACATATACCCTGGCAGTGGCCCTGGGGCCGTCACAGCGTCCATGAGCTGTTCCTAAATAATCAAGCGGAGCTGCACGCTGCCGACTGGCTGTGTTCAAATTGGGTCTGAGTTCCCGGGGTCCCCGAGGCCGCGGGGTCTGCTCGATGGAGACGGCAGGACGAGAACAGCGTGTGAAATAACAGGTGTTTTGTGTGACCGTGAAACAAATGTGGCTTTCGCTTGGTGTTTTTAGATGTACCTCTGAGCTTTTTAAGCCTTTTCTAAGTCTCTCTTTTGAGGTTTCCACCTCGGGACAATCTGGTGTCACGCAGTTTGGACATGACGTGATCATTCACTTGGTTTGGAAGACACGGAGGACAACTGCCTTGTTAATAAGCCTACATGTGATACGATTGGCAGACTTCTCACAGTGTGACAAAATACGAGGAGACAGAGCGTTGCACCCTCGCCCAAGAGAAGCCGTGTGTCTGCCTGAGTGTTTCTTTAAGTGCTCCGTACCATCTGTGCCTGCGTGAGCAGAGAAACTTTACACTCGCCAGCAATGCCGCTTCCTGCGCTGGACCGAATGGAACAATTTTAAGACGGAGCTACGATTCGCTTTTATCATATGTCCAATTCTATATTGCCTCTGTTCTCTTAAGACGCAGAAAGAAAATACCAGATGCACTCAACTCTGAAATACGAGAGACGCGCTCCTCCATCGCGATGACTAATCACATTTGATTTAATGACCTTTTGCTGAAGACAGGAAAAAAAAAAAGCTTTTCTCTTGAAACTTTTCTTCACAGTTCCTCTCTGGCTATTATCCGTGTGTGTGTGCGTGTGCGTGCTTTTTTTATTGTCTCTCCACATCCTCCATCCCCATCCTTTTTTTTTGTTTAGCTATGCCTCCCTCTGCGTCTCCTTTTGTTATTGTTCTTCACTTCATTCTCTCACTCTGTAACCCATCAAGGATGCTGCGGAGTCGGCCGGCAGCCTGAGGGGCGGATCCGTCGGCGGTGATTGGCTCTGCTTGCGCGCCAATGAGGTGTGAAGCGTCTGCCACGCCGCTGTAACTCTCCTCTGGGGGCCACCCCTCCCTCTCTCTCTCTCACACACTCTCACACACACACACACACACAGTGGCGTGCAATATGCTCCGAAATAGATACAAGATCTTGACGCTTGCATTCAACCAACAGAAGAAACTTTGGGAATGTGCACGTGGGTTTCGTCTCGGCGAGGTCACCTTGTGTCATCCACTTGAGCTTCCGCAGGACGGACACACACACGCACACACAGACGTAAAGAAATGTTCCTGGTTGTGCCAGCGATGCCAGTGGGGCCCGCGAGTGAGAGGCGGCCGTCATGCACTCCATTCCAGTAATGGGCGGGCAGATGGCGGGCCGCTCTGTAGCTGAGGCTGATGGCTCTATTCATCAGGCTGCTCGCCCCCCCCTGCCCCCCCCCCTCCCCCCCTCCCAGCAGCCACGCTTTATGCAGTTCCCTCGCACTCCCCTCCGCTGTTCCTTTTCTGCTCTTATTTTTATCTGCACTCCTTTTTGTTTCAGTACTAATTCTGAGACCACGCTGTCGCCTGTCTGCCTGGTGCCGAAAAGACCCGCTTGGTTCCAGCGTGGGGTTCTGCAGCAGGGGGGCGCGTGAGTTGTTGGCTGTGTTTTAGAAAGTGCTGCTACGTTTTTAAGGTCTTTTTTCTTTATTTTTTTCTTTGCAGATTTAAACTTTGGTCAGGCAAACCCTGTTTGGACGCGGAGCCTCTTGGCAGAGGTCGAGCTAAAGTGGTCGTTGAGGCAAAAGCCGGTTTAACGCGATGAAAGTTTGTCAACCGTGTAAAAATAAAATTTTAGTTCAATGAATATCAAATAAAATTTGACATTTTTTACCCACCGTAAAAAAACCCTCTAACTTTATAGATAGTAATTGTGCAGAGGGATGTAGGTAAATGTTGTTACCTTTGGAGGGATCCACCTGTTTGCAGTCTATGCTAAGCTATTTGTTGTAGCGGAGATATATCCAAGTGCTGTCAATCATCTCATCTGACTCTCTGGGGGGAAAAAATACAAATGAGCTACTTTCCATAGACTTTCCAACAAGCTAAAAGATCACTTTTCCTGCTTAATTAAGTGTTAGTCAGCAGAGGGATTCAGCATAGTTTTTGAATGACAGAGTTGATAATAATCGGTTCCTCTAATACACAAAGTGGGTCGTACGAATAGCTCAACCACGAAATAAATAACCTGTATAACTTTATTTTAATCCTACTACTTTAAGTGCTTCTCTTTTCCTGCCAATGGGTGCGTGTGTGTGTGTGCGTGTAAAGGTAGACCGAGGCAGTGCGTGACAGCGTGGTTTGACTGTGAGCAGTAATGAGGCCCCGAGCTGCCGCCGCGCTGAGGAGACGCTTCGACGGCCGAGACAGGAGGATGACCTTGTTGACCATGAACACACACACGGAAAGCATACTTATCTTCTTCTGTAAAGTTCACCCAAAGCCAGTTTGGTTGTTTGTGTATTTTATTAGCAAAGTGCATTTGTGCTGTTTGATGATTTTATTGTCACTCACCAGATCGATGCATGTAGCCCCATAACCAGGCCTCATGTTACCTGGTCAGTCGATGTCTTCCTCCAGCTTCCTGAAGGCACGTCGAGAGCTCTGCAGACTTTTCTCTAGTCGTATTAGTAAGTCACAGGGTTTCTGTGTTCCTCAGATTGACCAGAAACATATTGTGCTCTTGTGTGAGCTGCACAGCAAAATAAAAATAGCTTGAAGGCTGAAGTCCGGGAACAAAAACACAATAGAAGTTTTGTAATGGTAAAACTAAAAGTTCACCGCTGACGGGGAAAAAAAAAGTGTTTGTGTCCATTTGACATTTCATACTTTTACTGTGCATTGTTCTTCTTCACATTTACATGTCGATTTTCACTCTTTACATTGTGACTTGGCTTTCAAATGACAAAAAAAGTAGCTGGAGCTGGTTGTTGGGACTTTCCTGTTAATAAATCATGTTTAAATTCTGTATTATTTCCCCATGGAAATAGTGCAGCTGCGGAGCCGCTCATTGTGATGTATTACAGGTTATTTCTAGTGTTTCCGTGGTGCTACTATGTCGCAGCAGCTGATTTAATATTAACGAAGCTTGTGGGCACCGCAGGACGATGGCGGTGCCCCACCTTGCACTGATCTACCATGAAAAAAAACTGGCAGGGCAAGAACCACCGTGGAACCACCATAGTACGGCAGCAAGTTTGCAGGTTAGATGCCGAGGGGAGCACAAGCCGTTGGCTCCTAAACCCGTTACATGGCTGTG